AAGACTACCGGGATGTGAAGTGCTACCAGGAAATGCTCAGAACTCGTGCGATGAACCTCTTCGGAGAAGACACCACCACGGAAGTAGAGCCGCATCGCCGATTTTTCGGTATGGGGCCTGACTACTTTACTATGGATGGCGGCGAAACCCTAATGCAGGGCGAGCGATGGAAGTGGCTTACGGAGAAGGAACGCGACGATATGTATCCGTATGGGTTCATGCCCATCAAGGAGTTCCTTGGCTGCGAGACCGATCAAGAAGTCCTCCTTGGCTGTTACCTACCAACGTCGGACGACGCCACTGCTGTGCGAACGCTCCTGACCGACAAAGGGCTACCTGTTGAGATTGTATTGGATATCTTGGAGCTTGCCAGATACGAGGACCTGGGTGGAATGAGAATCGCCCATGACCCTTTCCACCCCGGGAACAGAGACGTGCTTCTCCAGTATCTCGACGACTGCTGGCGGATCCTCGTTCACTGCTACGTTCTGAAAGAGCACGTGAAGGAAGAGGAGGAATTGACACCATGGACAAAGGATTGGGCCTACCATGTGCGGGATTGTCTCCGCACGATCTGGTGGCCAGGTTGTAAGGAGATTTGTAAGTCGACGATATCTTGAACGGGGGAGGCAAGCAGGGACAAGTTTAGGCTTAGCCGAGCGCTGTTCGAGGATGAGGATTATGAGAGAGCGAATTTTTAAGTCTGTATGCTAATACCCTACCTACTGGTCGTGAATTGTTAAGTATTTTGCAAAGTTAATCTATTTGTTCGTATCATCATATCATTCTTCTTGCTCTCTACGCTGTGGCCGCAGCTCCTCCTCATCAGCAGCACGGTTCCCTGAAGAATCAACCGCTCGATCGTTGGCCTCATGAGCGTGCAATCTCATGTTGACAAACATTGCCCAGAGCCCCAAATCGTAAATGATGCGCAACGCACCACCAACTACGAACGCAATCCAAAACCTCTGGTGTCCCGCCAGAGCGCCGGTAAAGGACGGCCCTACGGTCATCGAAAGCGTCCGAAGGGTGCTCGTGATCCCCATGACCGCCGTGCGTTCCTCGGGTTTCACGATGGCGGCGATGAAGGCCGCTCTCGGCGCCTGGTCCATGTTATTCAGGCCCACGCGGACGTAGAGCAGTATAATAGTAAGCACGAGTCCGTGAGGTGCGGGAAAGAGAAGAACAGCAGCCGAGGACGGCAGGTGCGTAAAGACCATGGTGTTCAGGAGACCAAGGTAGTTGCAGAGCGGTCCGGCAAATACCGTTGATACGGTTCCGAGGATGAGCGCCGTCGACATGATGTCTCCGAGAGCCGCCTTGGACAGGTGAAATTTCTGATCGAGGAAATATGTCGTTAGAGTTTGGGAAACCATGCCGTCCGCCAGTGAGTCTACAGCAAGGAGGAACCACAACTTGTACATGGTGGAACGCGTAGATGAAGAGATTTGGGAGAAGCGACCCTTGGGCTTTGGCTCGCTCGTTTCGACGAAGTCCTCGTCTTCGGTTTCCTCGGGCTCGCTAAGCAGTCCTTGGGCTAATTCGTCCGAGGTTTCTTCTTTTGGTACCGTCTTTTGGATTTCGCATTTATCGCTCAAGAAGAACGCGAAGATCATGTTCAACAGGCCCGTGATGATATAAATTAAAAATGTCGCGTGATAGGTACGCACAAGGGACCATCTTTCGCGAGCCTTGAGTGCCTCGACGAATCTTCCCGCAAGCTCCGTGCCTGCAGCAGACCCGAGACTCGAGCTCGTCACGTACCACGACAAAACGTGAGCCCTCGTCTTGGGCGTCGTGAGATGGGACAGCATCGACTCCTCAATAGCGCGAAATGGACCGAAGTCGCCACCGCTGGCACTCACAACCCCGACGACAGCAGCGACGAGGAGGATCCAGAAATTTTCGAACACGTAGAACACGGCGCCCGAGAGAGCCATGAGCAAACCACCGGCGAAAATGACACGACGGCGCCCCAGGCCATCGGCCATCAAAGTAATCAAGAGACCGAGCACGACATCGCCGAGGAGGGTCAAACTCATAAATAGACCGATGCGGAAATCGGAAAATCCGAGCTCGGAGAAGAACAGGGCTATCGTCAGGGACACGGCGCCGAAAGCGAACATGCGGGTCGTCCGCGAGAGAATGACGAGGAGCGCATCGAGGCCGGTGAGGTAGACGGAGGCGATGCCCGATTCTTTGTACAGCCAGACGGCGGACTTGCTGAGAGAGGGTGAGCGCGCCCGTTGGTTAGCCATCGCGGGAGGGTTACGGGCGGGATGGGCGGGATGGACGGGACATTTGGGTTATTGGGCGAATGGGCGGAGAAGCATTTGAAAGAGAACGGTAAGAGTTTTTCTAGGCCAGTCTTTTTTTTTATCGCTTTTTTCTGGTTCGTTGGTTCCCTCGTGCATTGCTCCGCTCCGAAATGCGGAGATGGCGCGAGCGGTGTGGCTGGATCGGATCTCTCGGCACCAACGTCGGCTTTTAGACCGAGTGTCCCCCGTCGCAATCCTGAAAGAGCCCAAGTCTAGCATTTGTTGCGTTTTGCTTGCTCCACTTTAAAACGTTGAAGTATTTTGATTTGCAGATAGCTTCGGGCGAGGTTCCATCGCATAGACCTTCTGCCGGTTGAGCGGGTCTGGAAGGCAGAAATGACACGAATTTGGCTATAATGACACCTTCTAACCGGGCAATGACGCATAGTATGTGAAAATCCAACTAATTCGAGAAGACCTCATGGTTATGCTTGAGAAACACTCTAGATTGGGCGAGTTGCTCGCTAGTATCTTCGATAAAGCCGAAGCCTTCCTTTGCCTCGGTGATAAGCTCCAGTTTACATCCCAAGGGCCCAAGACTGTTGTTGGGATTTTCTCTTCTCAGATTGACATGCCGATCGAGATTATTTACTCGCTGAAATGGTGACGAAAGATCGTTGTGACACACGCGATGCACAACCTGGCATTAATGACCCGTAGGCGGCCGTACGACTCTCCGAATAATTAACGTCCAGTTCACAGCTTGCTATCTTTCCACCGAGGCTCCCTCTTCTCGACAAAACTCGCAAGACCCTCCTTCATGTTCTCCGCCCCATCGATCCGCCCATACAATCCCTTGCCAAGCAACTCAGTGCTCGTCGCCGGTCCCATGGCCTCCCAACCCAACGTCAAGCCCTCGCGGCTCGTAATCACCGAATCGGGACTATTCGCAGCAATCTCCTGCGCCAACCGCAGTGCCTCCGCCACTACGGCGGCCCCATCTTTCGTTTCATCAGTACTAACGACAAAGTTGACAAGACCCCATTCCTTCATCTCTTGAGGCCCGTACATCCGACCTAAGAGCGCCATCTCCGAGGCTCGCTGCTTGCCAACCGTGCGGATCAATCGCGGAAGGGCACCAGCAAGAGCCACAACACCACGTTTCACCTCGGGCGTGCCGAATTTCACCCCCCGCGTCCCCGCGACGACCATGTCACAGTTGATAACCATCTCCATGCCGCCTCCGAGACAGAGCCCGTTCACGGCCGCGATGACGGGCTTTTTGCCCTTGCGATTCGACAAACCGCCGAATCCGGCCGTCGTGAAGATCTGGCTACTATCTTTCTTCCCGTCTTTGCTATTATTGTTCCATTCTGTGAGGTCGGCACCGGCACAAAAGGCGCGGCCCGAGCCTGTGATGACGGCGCATCGGAGAGAGGGCTCGGCGTCGAACCATTCGAAGAGGTAGGTGAGTTCTTTGTGCTGTTGGACGTGGATAGCGTTGAGCTGCTTAGGGCGGTTGAGGGTGACGAGGAGGACGTGGGGGACGGGGATGGAGGTGATGGTGTCGACGACGGAGGGCGGTGTAGGAGCCATTATATCCAAGAGGTTAGGAGCAAGCGGTGGGCTATGCGTCCTCTCATTGACAGGTAGCGAAGCAACGAGATTTGGCTGGCGTATAGTAAGCAAGAGGCTACAGTATATTGTGAGATGTCCCCGTATCTTTGCCCTTATGTGATCTCTAATATCCACTGCACCAGTTCCCCCGGAATCGAGATGTGTTAGAGCTTCTCCAGTTTTATTTCCCCTCGGATGCGGAGGCGATGCGGGGGATCTGCAGCTAAGGAACCCCCAGAGTCTCGGTTCTCCGTCCTGCCTCGGCAACCCGTAAAGTAAACTCCGGCATTAGTGTTAATGGCACGACAATCCTTAGATCCGCCAAGTCCCCCAGAAAATCGGGTTTATTGCTAATGGTTTCAGGCTCTTATATTCTCCTTTTCTGCCTTTTATTTATTGTCTTTTTTTTTTTTCCTTCTTTACCTAAATTATTATTATTTTAAAGCCCAAGAAACAATCAGTGCCGAGATACAAGAGGTGATGACTCCCAACCTGGGCCCCTTTCCACATCCAATTGGTCTTCCGGTGGAGCTTTAAGTCCATAGTGGGACCAGCTTCCGAGTTGCCGGCCACAGGTCAATCCTCACTTCTAGTACAAGGGCTGGGCCAGCTGCTGCACAGGAACCCGGGAGGATGTATAATGGCACGACCCGAATAAGGTAGCCGAGCGAGCTAAGTTCTAAACGCAGCTAAAATGCAACTAGATCTCACCCGGCCTAGTTCAACGCGTGCCGTTTTCATAGAATACACGGCACGGCTATACGAGGTGTTTACGCGAGATATTGGCTCTGAGCTCCATCATGACGATTCAAGGACTGCTGAATCTCCGACTATCACTAACTCAGCTCAAGGCTTGCAAGACTGAAATGGATAACTTGATTCATCATGACGTTAAATGTGCTATCTGAAATGCTGAAATGACCGAGGCCTGGTTGCCAGTCCTCTCGATAATTTTCCCTTCTCCGAACAAGACTAATACCAGGAGATAAATGCTGTGAAATGTCGAATGCCACTTATACGATGAAAAACACAAGAGGAGAAGACGGAAAGAAGCCGAAGAATAAATGATGGAAATAGAGAGCGCGTGTACTTGATCGAAAAGGTCGGATGCTTCTCCGATCAACATCAATTTTCCGGCTTCTGGCCGTACACAACAAGCCTAGAAAGATAATGGTAAGTATGTGAAGGGAATCATAAAATAACCGGATGGAGTTGAAACTTACACAGGTAGATACGCATGCACTCGTCGATCCCGCAGCTGCTTTCTCACCTCAGCACAATACGTCAAAGTCTCCTCCCTCGACCATCCCAAAGCTCTCGTGAAGAGTCCCAAAGTCAAACCCTCGAGACCGAGGTCGTAGTTTTGGAAAGTCCAGGCGCCAATCTCCTTGTAGCGCTTATCCTTGGGCCACGTGTTGAGCGGCCACTTGAATTCCCGCTGGACGAGCTTCTGGAATCCCGCCTTTTCCATCATCTCCTTGTACTTGGTCGCCACATCCATGGGGCGGTTGAGGGCGGCGCTGGCGTCGCGGAATAGGCCCCCGAGACGGCCGAGGGCGGAGTCGGGGTCGAGGGTGCCGTCGTCGCTGCGGTAAGGGATTACGATATCTTGCATTTCGAACCAACCACCGGGTTCAAGGGCACTTTTCACATTTGTGAATCACTGTTAGTAGGGGAAACCAATGGAGCTCCACGCTTGGAGCTTGAAGAATGTTAGTGCGTACTTGTATGCCTTGTCGATGTACGATTGGTAATCCGAGAAGCAGGCCGCCATCACTCGGCTGAAGAGGAAATCGAACGGTTTGGGCCAGGTCCATTCTTTTTCGAGATCGTCGACTTCAAAGGAGCAGTTCGGCGGAATACTGCAGTTTTACGGTTTTAGCGTCTCGTTCCCCCCATCGAGAGGGAGAAAAAAAAAATGAAAGCCAACGTAGGACTTACAGTGAAGGCTGGATTGGGCTCAAGTCCACGCCGGTAATCTCAGACTCGGGATGGGCATCCGCTGTGCGCCAAAATTGAGTCAACATTGTCTGCGCTGGAATCTATCGACAGGCGAAGAGGCGGAGGGGAAAGTATGACCATCGAATCGGGCTGTAACTTACCATATTCGATAGCCCAGCAGCCCGTTCCCGTTCCGAGATCCAGGACGCGCTTCGCTCCCTTCTCGGCATACGGGCATAATGTCAGGGCACCTTCAAGGGTTAACAGCCACATGTAGTGCTGGCCCTCTGCAAATTTAACCGTCAGCAAAGGAACCAGAGTTCGTAAGGGGTGAGAGCCATTCTTACCAAGACGTTCGGATTCGCTGTCATCGTTGGGAAAGGCATACTCTAGAAGGATTCGTTAGATTGGCGACGTTTACAGCAGAGGCGCAGGCTCAGGTCGACAAGAGACAACATACTGCCAGAGCTCAACGAGTGATAAGTACGGCCATTCTCAAATTGATATTGTAGTACACTCGACCTGAGTGATGTGAGTCCGTCTGACACCGGCTGTGATGTGCCCAAGTTAGCTCATCTGCAACAGTCCAAGCGCTGGTGAGAGAAGAGACAGAAGGAGAAGAGAATTAATTCACAAAGCTCGAATAACAATAGAAATAATAAGGTAAAACTAAACATATAGAAAAAAGAAACCGCACATAAATAAAAAGGAAAAAGAAGTGCAGTGTAAATACAAGAGGAAGGTAACAGAATAAATGTATGAAATAAATTTTATTGCGAGAAAAAAAAAAAAAAAAAAAAAAAAAAAAAAAAATGAAATAAACAAGCAGAATTAGCAACTTACCACAGACACGGCGGAATCACCGTCGAAGGTATCGACAGCCTATTGCAAACGAGTTAGTTTTTGGTTCGACAACGTGGGGCGGATTAACGCACAATCTCAGGGCCGTGATCTGGGTTATCCGCCATCGTTGCGATCCAAAATGTCGCTGGAGGAACGGATTTGACGTGATCAACCTTGGCAGATGCGATGTGACGAAGGATCTGCGAGGCACGCTACGCGACGTCAGATCCAAAAAGATGAGATGTGAGACTGGGGGATATGTGGCGGGATTTAAGCTTTTCGCTCGGGCTCTCCTGCGGGAAATCGAGGACGCAATGAGTGGAAAGCAAAAACTTTAACGGTCGTGAGATGTACGTGGCAGGGCCCAAAGAGAAGAAGATCAGCGATCGAGCTTGCGACGTTTTTGTGTCCTCTCTTTTTTTTCTCGCTTCGGGAACGTCCGCCTTTCCCCGCACTTGCATTTCCCCCCTTCCCTGTGCTTTGCCTAGTTTTATTTCGATGGGAGCCTTCCTATCTCAGGATAGTGGCTTTGCTGGCGAGAAGAGCGAGACGCTCGGAAGTAGTATTGACTTTCCCCGGTGGAACAAAGCTTCATTTGGGTCGTTTTACATAATGCAATGCTGCGGTAGCTATTGGAAGAGACGTACACTAGACACGAAGGAGGGATAGATGATGCGGCCTTTGCAAGGCGATTGGTTGCAGGGTCACAAACGGCAGCAGCCTGTCGAACCAAGAGCGGAAAGGTCCTTAATCAAGGATATCGTCGCCAAGAAAACAGTCACACTGGATGAGTTTACGATCTCTGGAAAGTATAAGTACTTTCTGTGAAAAGCCATTTCAGCTGGTCAGAGCTGTACTTCGTACGGAGGTGTCAAAGCCAAGGTGTCCCGGTCCCTGGTCCCCTTGAACGAGATGAGCCGGTGTGGGTAAATTTCTTCAACGATGGCACAGATGCTCACGCCACAGAGCGAAGTATTGGCTCCATCCAGGAATCCCGTCTCCAAAATGCGCCCCCAAACTGGCGAGGGGGACACCTGGAAATGGAGTCAATCCCTGCTGTAAATTGCCCCCGCTTTCTTGGAGATTGCATTCCGCGGAGGGATGTGTCTGGAGGAAAGATCGAACCAGTGATGGGGATTGAGGATGAGTGAAGCGAACAACTTGTCCGAGGAGGAGTCGTGTGCTAAGACGCCTGTCACGGGCGGGAATGGACTACAGACATATTAAACGCCTTCTCCCCTTGATGGTTCACTGATGTACAAGTTAAAGTTAAATCCTCTCACGAATTGCCAATCTGCTCCACAGTTAAAGTTGGCTTGGCATCCGTCCCATCCGAATCAGGTTGGACATGTAACCACACGTCTGACTCCAAGTTTCAATTCTTCACTCACCAATAACCATGTTTTCATTTCGAGTATGAGCTGGAACCTAGAAAAGAGCATTTCTGTTCGAGGGATAACAGCCCTACCCCCAAACAAAGCGCTTTTCGTCCCCTCCAAACTCCCACCACTGGATCAAACTCAAACTATTGGCGCTAGCTTGATTGGTCTCACTTGCGCTTGCTCTTCGAGGCAGGCACAACGTGGGTGGAGGTGAGAAGAGAAATGTGGAACACACAGACTCAGTTCACCAGGGGCTGGTGATAGCTTGGTGCCTTGTGAGGCTATGACCCAAAACGTCGGACTGTGATGTGTTCGGCCCGACAACGTAAAATTTAGTTTGCCTCTGAGCAATATTGAGGGTAGTTATTTTTTTCGCCCTCTTACTGCTAGAGGATGGCATTTACTCCGCACCAACCTCGCAGAAAGAGTCGCCGAGAAGCTACTCGAAGCACACACTCGCCCTCCAGATCCTCTCTGAAACCGGGCCTACTTCGAGACATTGACAAAGCCGTCCCTTCACAACACCAATCTGTACTTGGCATACACCACATCCACCAAAGCACCGCATTCTCAAGCCCGTTATTCCACCTGAGATCTCTCATCCTCTGTGTCTGACTAGTTTCTGTCATTAATGGTAATGTATATTGGCCACCCTGATATCAAGGCAAGGTGGTTCAGGCGCATACGAAATTCGATTTTACAGTCTAGTCGCTCTGGTGAAGAAATAATGATTGACATCACCTACGACAGTGAGTTAGAGTATTCTCTCAAGATGAAATTAGCTATTAAATATTACTCTCGCAGTATTCTCGTTACTCTCCCTCTGTTCAGTGTTGGTCTTAATCCTGGCCGCCGTCAAGTGAAAATGGGTAAATCAGTCGTCGTACGTCGCGCGTGCGAGACCTCGTACTCGATAGTACCTTCCACGCACTGGACTCAAATTCCCATGCCAAAATAACCACCGGGAAGCTCTTCCTCCAGCAGCAACGCTTCGATGCCGTCCTTAATGCTCCCTTTTAAGCTTTCCTCCAATTTCGAGGTCAGCTTGTCATCTTGACGGTTTTTCACCTGGACCAGGATGGCGCCAATTCCGTTGGGGGTCTTAAGGGGGATCAGAGCATCTGCTCCCTTGTAAAATGCGGGTAAAAATATGGCTGCACCGCGACGGTACGACTCCTCGATGACTGCTTGCGAAGGAGGCGCCGATACCCGAATAAAATGGTTGAAGAAGACCGAAGAATCTGTCAATGGGTTATCGTTATTATCCGGCAATATCCGATCAGCGCCGAATAGTGCAGTCCAGAAAGCCAGGAATGATATTGGGCCAGGGAGTTCGTTAAAGGGTTGGCAGGCATCATCAAAGGCGAAGAGCAGGACCAGAATGGCAATCTGTTCTCCAATATCTCCCGGGTTGACTGAACCGGATGCGAAGCACGACTCCCAGCTTCGGAGGGCATTCAATCGGGCACTCGGGTCTGCTAGAAGACGCGAGGAGACATACGCAAGCAGCGGCTCTCTAGGCTGTACACTCATTAGCGTGTCTCTTTCTTCTGTTACCGAGATGATAAAACGGAGGCAGTTCGAGACTAAGTCTTCAGCCAAGGAGTATTGCCCAACGTAGTAATTGACCCGCATGCAGAGCAGGGCCAAGTCTCGTGTCCTCTTCGACGTTGATTCGTATTCACTGAGAATCTTCTCACCGACTCTCACCAGTTCCATGACTAGGAGCCCTGATTTGAGGTAAGGCCCCCAGAGAGGGCGGCCCAAGCTGAAGAGCTTTGCCACATTCGCTAGTAAATGGTCGGGCTCAGGCATGTCGCCATCTACGAAGGCTGCCCACGAATTGATCCGCCACAAAGGCAGAAGCAGCCTTTTCGTCTGCTGGATGGGGTCGAACCTTTTCGGGGAGGGTGAAGGTGCTAATTCTGGAAGTGGTATCGAGGAGAATAATGAAGAACTTTTTCTTGTTTATGGGTCGAGTTTTAAACACCCTTTCCGCTGCCGATCGCAGCGACTTGAAAACGATGCTGCCGCTATCTGTTAGGAGTTCCCTCGCTTCATCGAGGCATATCAAGGCTGGGATGTCAGTGGCCTGTGAGGAGATGGCTGGGAGCGCGTTGTCATCATTGGTAAGATCCTTCTGATACTTCCCAATGACTCCGTTCAAATCCTTACTTCGATCGCTGGTTAGGTTGCGTATCTCCTCGAGTTCACGACTAAAACCGGAATGAGAGTCAAGTGTCAAGAGACTGAACAAACCGCCAGGGGAGATCCCATGCTCCCCGCTGGCTTCCAGAATTTCCAAGCAGAAGAGGAGGAATCGCCCCCAGCTGTCCTGCAAAGTGCGTTTATCTTGGCTGGCACTTGGCAAAGTGAGAGTGGATCTTCGAGGAAACCCGCCACTGCCAGATCAAAGGTTCAAGTACATGACGGGGATTTCATGTTTCACCGCCAGCTGCTTAATCGTGAAGGATTTCCCAATGCCCGAGGGCCCAGCAAGTGACGTATACGGGGCCAGGTACGCCTCTTGGTTGCCCAAGTACTTGAGGTACTGTTTTCGGATCCCGCTCAAAAAGGACGGCACTCGGATACTCGGCGTCTCGCTACTTGCGCTCCGGGAGCCCAAACGCGTTCTGGGCAAGTGTCACATCGATCGAGGTAGGAAGGCGAGGGCTGAGGAGTTCCAAGACAATGGGGGAGAGCTTTTCCCTCCTTTTGTCAGGGGTAAAGCTTGACATAAGTTCCTCGAGTCTCGTTATTTCTAACCAAGCATGAATCGTCTCATCGACACTGCTTTGATGGAGGAGTCGAGCCTCGAGGGATATTTGGAGAATGATCTTCTGTAAAAAAATCTGGCCGACTTGAACAAGATCACTGGCTGGGCGAGTAGGAATTAGATTGCCTTCGATGAATGACTTCGTAGCCTCTGGGAGCCGAGTTCGTGCGACGAACTCTTGGACAGTAACTCCACGCCACCGGCATTTATCGTTTGCGAACGACGTTAGCGGGGCCGGATCCTAAGGACAGGTGCTGGAATTTTTTGCATACCCGGCTCGATTGTAAGAAGTTATGTTGAAGACCGAGATCAGGGTCTCTGTTTGAACTTCAACTTAGGACGGCCAAGGCAGAGAAGGGTCGACAATGAGTTTGAGTCTCACAATGTAGGACTGCAGTAACGTTGTTGTTGGCCGGTGAAGCTGTGAAGCCGTGAGAGGTGTGAAGAAGGTTGGCAAAGTAGTCGGAGAGAGATTTGATGCGACAGAAAATTGGGAAATAGCATTCGGCTGGTGGATCTGCTTGTGACACAGTCATGATGCCATTGGAAGCAGGTGCGTCCTTGGTGTTTGCGAGTTGGCTTCATCTTGGGCAAGCGCAACTCCAGTGGAACCTAAAATATAAGATAAGAATTCGGTAAATCATCGGCAACGAGAAACCGAGCAAACAACCCCTTCGTCATGGCGAGGAAGGAGCAAGGAGACAATGGACGTTGGGAAATCCGGAGTGCTTAGAAATCATCCCAGTGTTGTGTCTACATTACATTCTGACTCAGTGCCACGATGCCTAAAACTTACTATTATTACTGAAAGCCTGAAATCATCTGGCACACGTCGATGTCTGATGCTGAAATAGAACAGTTGAACGCGTCTCGCATGCCGACTCAGACGAATGTTGTACTCAGTCAAGAAATAAGTCCTAAGAACTAGCTTCCCCAAGGGTTTCAGTCATTCGATGACCTGCCCTCT